GTGTGACTATACGTGGGGTTGGGTTATTAAAGAGGTGATCAAGTTCAAGAGAGACTGTTAGGAGAGAACTTCAACCCAATATGGCTGGTGTCTTGAGAAGAGACACCGAGGGTTCCGGAATGCAAAGGAAAGACCATGAGAGGACACAGCAGGAACACAGCTGTCTGTGAGCCAGGAGAGGACGTTTCAGAGGAAACCAACCCTGCAATACCTGGGCCGTGGACCGCCAGCCTCCAGAACTGTGTGAGACAGCAGATTTCTGTTCGGACCTCTGTCTGAGGTGGTATTTGGCAGCCCAAACAAATGAATGCGTACCTCATAGGATCACCACAGGGACCCAACTAGATGGGGCCATTTACTGGCTCAGCAGCGTCCCTGGCTCCCTGTGTGGCCGTTATTCACTCCGCTCTGAGGATGTAGCCCCTTGCATTCTGTATCACCGCGTGGTAGGAGCCAGTGCTTGTAAAGCATCGAGTCCTTATAAAGCTCTTTGAGGCCCGGGTTTTGCATTTTTTACCTCCACCCACAACCTATCCAAGTGCCTCATCTAGGAGAGGTGCTCAAAAAACGTTTGTAGGTACAACATGCCTTGCATAAATACTTAGGGCCTGGCAGCGTGCACAAGGCCACCCAGTCTCTGCCCTCGAGGAACTGGAGTTCTCAGGGAAAGGATGAGATGTTGGCCCTGTCATATCACTGCTTTGATGATTCTCAAAGTTTTTCTTTCCTTTTCCTTTTTCTTTTCTTTTTAAGTTTATTTATGTTAGAAAGGAAAAGAGACAGAGTGTGAGTCTTCAGCATGGCTTCCAGCACTGCAGAGCTGTGCTAGCGGCGAGGCCATGCTTTGCACGAGCTTCTCTGTTTTTGCCATGGGGCGGGCGCCACCACACCCTGCACGGGTTTCTTTTGTAGCCACCTGAAAAGCAAAGGAGCTGTGAATGGAAGTGCTGGCTTGATTCTCTGGTGAGTCACACTTCCGGTGTGAGCAGAGATGCCACTCAGCACCCACTGTGAGCCAATCGTATGCCGCACGGTGACTTTCTCCTGTTGACCTACTTAATGTCCAGGGTGGCCTGAGGCAATCAGCTCTGTTATTAGTTTAGTTTTACAGCTGAGAAAACTGAGGCACAGGAAAGTATCTTCCGTAGGCTGACATAGTTTGTAAGAGTCGTACCCAAACAGTGGAGTGTCAGGGCCCAGGACCAAGAAGTGTGTGCTGCTGTAAACCTGGTTCCAGGAAGTCACCTTGGCTTCCTTGGCTGGGGATCCCTCCTCTGGACCCTGAAGGGTGGGCTGAGACTCCCTTCCAGGCCATGGAAAGAGACATGGTCAGGGAGGTGGCACTCATAGCATGTCCCACCTCTCCTGGATAGGGAACCAGGGCAGACTCTAACATAAATGCTTGTGCTCCCACACCCCAGTTCATACTTGGAGTGATTAAGTCATGAGAGTGGAGTGTTCATACACGGGATTAGTGTTTTGTTTTTGTTTTTTAAAAGGTTTTTGCCATAGGGCATGTGCACTTGGCAGAGATAGACAGTGAGCCAGAAGGTGAGAAATCACTCCCCAGGGGAGATGGCCACACCACCATCCCTTCTCCTCCATTCTCCTCTCGGGATCTTGGGCAGGCATGCATGCATGCCCAATATGATTTTCAAGCTGCTGGGTCTGAGATTTGAACTGTGGTTGGCCATTTGGGGGTCTAGCGATGTAACCACTATACCACCTGCTGGCCCAGGATTTGTGTTTTTTTCTAAGAAGCCAGAAAGCTGGATACTGTCCTTCAACTATGTGAGACTATGATGAAACAGCGCCATCTCCATCCCAAAATGACCCCCACTCTGCTGACATCCTGACCTCAGATTTCCAGCCTCCAGGACTATTATAAACACATTTCTGTTGTTTTTCAGCCTCCTGTCCTATGATATTTTCTTCTGGTACCCTGAAAGCACTGAGACAGACCCCCAAGTAGGAACTATGCCCACAGGAGGAGGTCATCGCAATGACCTTCTGCATTCCTCTGGCCATGGCCCCTTAGTTGATGTAGATCGTGGTTCGTGTCCCAGACCCGATGGGTTAAACTCATATGTGCTGCATGTTAGTGAGAGGCTAGGCATAGTGCCATGTGTCTCATACATGTAAAAGCCTCTGTCAAGGCCACAGAGAGAGATCTCAGATCCCAAAGAAGGCTCCAGGCCAGTGAAGGGTCCAGAGAAGGAGTAGAGAACCACACAGAGGGCCTGAAAACCTGTCCCATGGGGAATAAGATCAGGCAGACAAGTACAGTCTTCAAAAAGGTCAGGGAAGAAGCATATTTTGGGGGGGAAAAAAGCACATAGATTTTAAGAAAATTTTGCACCAAAATTAACTCATACTTTAATTCTACTTTTTGAAGTCCACTTGTATTTGTGAGAGTTTTTTGGGGGAGCTATTTGTGTGCTGTGAGTTCCACCCTGATGGAAGGAGGCAGGGTGCCTGTCTCTCACCTCACTCCCGGGGGCAGGTCCCCTGAGTCCCTCGAAGGGACAGGCATGTGCTCCCTCCTGCTTGTGGACCCAGGAGATTGATATTCGATTCCTGGAAAGTCAAACCCTGAGCCCTGGGCTGGCTGGAACTGGTGCAGAGAAAGGAGAGCAGCAGTTGCCTGGTCAACCCCGTGGAAAATGAGGGTGAAGTTTTTCATGAGCCAGTTGGGCCTCTTGAGAGAAAGTCTGGCATGCATTCCTGGTAGGGTCAGTTGAGAGAGCAGCTCAGAGGGCCCACAAGACTGCAGCAGGGAGACAGGGACACCATCCGGGAAGAACCCAAGTGGAAATCACTCATCCTCACTGGGATAGCTGTGAGCCCTGGGACAGGGTCTCCAGCCAGGAAGGACCCACCAGCGTGTTCCTAGGCCCGGAGAGCCCATGGTCTACTCCAGGTGGCATCGACATCAGGCATACCTGTCCTCTCACCTCTCTCCTTCCCCCTCCACTCTCCTGAAGGAGCCAGAAACCTCAGCTGGCACCAGAGGGAGCAGGAGTAAGAAGAACGGAGCTGATGGTGAGCCAGCGGTTAGCTTTCATCTGCAGCAGGTCACACTGCCACCACTCCTTGCGCATTTCACTAAACTGGAACCTGCATTGTCTGTTTAACCCAAGAGATTCACCTTCAAGGAAACATAAGCTTTCCTTTAAAGACAGACCCTTTTAGTGCACTTTAAATTACTCAGATTATTTAACTTGATTTTTTTTCATTGCCAGAGGGTACTTGTACTCTCCAGAGAGACAGAGAGAGAAGGAAAAAGCACCTTCCAGTGGGACACGATCACACCATAGTTCCTGCTCCTCCATTGCTCCCTCCTGTCAGGATTTAGGGCACTAACCCACTGTGTTTTTCAGGCCTCCAGGCCTGAACTCAAACTCAGGTTGGCCACGTGGTATCTGGCTCCCTTAACCTCTAAGCCACAAGGTCAATCCAAATTATTTGAATCTTGGGCATCTGTACCTTGTTGCCCCACCCGAAGGACAAGTTTTTGCCAGAAGATACTGTGACTCATTTTCCTTGGGTACCCTTCATGAGCCCCCATCACCAGAAACACTGATATTTGGTGACTAATACTTTTCAGAGACACACTGATTATATAAAGCAAGCTACAGGCGTAAGCCAGACCATTCCACTGTGTTTTCAGACTCCCCTGGCTGAGCAAATACACAGACCCTCCTCAGCCTTTTCTCTCCCTGCATTTCCAAGCAGTAGGCGGTCCTGGTAAAAATACCCCCTCGCTTTGTACAGCCCTTTAGAGTTTCAAAACCACTCTCATAACCCAAAGTCATTCTCGCCACGATGCACAGCCCCAAACCCTTCCCATCGTCTTCCCACCCACGCCCCTGCTTTCCCTGATGGCCAGCCCCGTGCTGGCCCCTGCAGGGTGAGGCCATGTGCTCCCCCAGGCATGTTGTGTGTGTGATGGGAAGAATTTCCTCATAAAGAGTCAGCCGGCCAGAAATGTGGGCAGAGAGCGAAGGGCAGCGTGTTCACGTTCTGTTTATTATGTTCTCACAGCCTTGTTTATAGTGAAGGTGAATGACATTATTCCACTTTACACGGCAATGAATCGACTCAATGAGGACTCCATCAGCCAAACGCTTTCATGGCAGACGGGCTGCCCCTGTCAGCTGTGCCTGCCGCGTGACCCAGCTAGTGCTACCGCGGCAGGAGCACACACCCAACAGATCAAAAGAGAGTAAGAATCCTGAAAGGAACAGTTGATTGCGAGGACCCGGACCCCAGCACGGGGAGGCTAATGGCTCCACCCTGAAATCGCCCATCTCGGTCCACAGCCTCGTGTGGAGTCCCAGGAGGCCACAGGGATAGGAAGACATTTCTGCTATCTGCTTCTTCTTCCACAATGTCATGCCAAGCAGCACAGTGGCACGGGCTGTCAGTGCCAGGGGTGACTTTGCCACCTCTCTTACTTCTGACCCAGAGGGAGGCAGATTGACAGAAGGCTGACACTGGGCACCCCAGGATGGAAAACTGAAATTCCTCTGCCTTTCTTGGATGTGAGTGCGGGCAGGTCAGGAGCATGCCAGGCACCCTCATTGATAGAGACCACCCTTCCTCTAAAGGTGCCACTCTCCACCTTTCCCTCGGGTTCAAGGAGAAGCAGACACCACATCGGCAGCCGCCTCTCCTTCCTGCTGCTTCTCTCCAGTCTTCCCCCTTCCCGTCTGCCCCCAGCTCTCAACACAACAGGTCCCTACCTTTCCCTCCCGGCAGAGCGAGCTGCTCCACAGTCCAGGGCCTGTGCCCCACAGCGGGGCCTGCAGCCTGGGCACAGCGCCACGTCTCAGCTTTGGTTTAGTCAGAGCAGCAGGTTCTAGGGGGAGCACCAGAGAGTAAAATCAACCAGCAACTTCCCAGCTGCCCATCCAGCCTGGGAGCAGAGGGAGTGGTAAGAGCTTGGAGCAGAAACCAAACCCCCACCGTGGCCTTGGGAAACCCTCGCAGATGCCCCCCGCCTCTCCTTCCTGCTGCTTCTCTCCAGTCTTCCCCCTTCCCGTCTGCCCCCAGCTCTCAACACAACAGGTCCCTACCTTTCCCTCCCGGCAGAGCGAGCTGCTCCACAGTCCAGGGCCTGTGCCCCACAGCGGGGCCTGCAGCCTGGGCACAGCGCCACGTCTCAGCTTTGGTTTAGTCAGAGCAGCAGGTTCTAGGGGGAGCACCAGAGAGTAAAATCAACCAGCAACTTCCCAGCTGCCCATCCAGCCTGGGAGCAGAGGGAGTGGTAAGAGCTTGGAGCAGAAACCAAACCCCCACCGTGGCCTTGGGAAACCCTCGCAGATGACACCCCCAGCTGGGACCCCTTCCATTGAGAAATGCAGAAGGTGTGTTATGACTTTGATTCCTACCACGACACTCTTGGGCTCTCCAGCCAGGTTCCAGGTATGCGCTGCATGGCCTTGGGTTCAGAGGCCCTGACGAACACAGTGGCCAACCACAGGAGCACACGGGAAACAACCAGGGAACAGGCCATGAGGCCAGCTTGGAGGAAGTGCTGTGAGCAAAGCCTCTTCAGATTGGGTACCTCAGCTCCCCACCTTGGCATACCTGCTGTCAAACAGGGCCCATAACTTGAGCCAAGACACTTTCAGCTCAAAGGAGCAAGTTGGACTAAGAGAGCATAGAGGCCGCCCCTCTGGGCATCGAACTCCAGACTGGTGCTTTTCGAGCTGTTGTGCTTGTGATGTGGATGTGTACTCACTCTCCTGCCGCGTGTCGTTCTCGCTCCTTGTGCCAGTGCTCACCTGCACAGGGGAATCACCTGCAGAGCTTTAAGACATCCTGACACCTGGAGCCCTACCAAAGTGCCTCTGATGGAGCCCTGCTGAGGTGGGACCTGGACGTTTGGGCGTTGAAAACTCCCCAGGTGACTCCAACAAGCTGTGCCGCCGAAGGCCACTGTCATACACCATCTTTTTTAAAGTCGGCAGGCCACTACACACCCAGGAGATGATTAAATGCAGGTTTCCGACCCTACCTCAGGTTTATCAGGTCAGCATCTCAGTGTGGAACCCGGAAATGAGCATTTGTATCGGGCTTTCAGGGTGATCCCTGCGCACACTCAAGTTTAGTAAGAAATATTGCCCCAAGAATTCCTCTTCACCCAGAGGCACCTGAAGCTGCAAATGGTCTCCATCAACTGTGCTCCACCGCACTCTGCCCTGGCAATGGCCAACCTCACACCAGCCCAAGTACAGGTTCGCACTCCAGCAGGGCCAAAGGCCACTCAGGGATGGAGAGCAGCACGACAAGTCCTGCTGGGCCCAGCCTGCTGCCCTGGCTTGCCCTGAGCCTGCACAGGCTCCAGAGACCAGACACTTCAAGTCCAGGCTAGAATCCTCAGCATGAGCCTGGCAAGAGGAACAAAGGAAGACAGTGAATGGAAGTGGCACCTGCGGGTGCCCACCTAGTGAGGCAGGTGAGGGCTTATGGAAGAGGAACAGGAGCGAGATGAGGAAGTCAGGGGTGAGGTATGCTTGGATATTGCTCTAGATGTTGTAAACATTTCTCTTGGTGTCATCACAGGCCAAAATCTGGGTTGGTATGACCAAAGTGCCTAAAAGGAGGCATCAGAGTGGAGAACTCTGTGCCCTTTGTGGGAAGCAGGGAGCCAGGGGTGTGAGGAAAACTCCACCCCATGGGAAGATCATATCTGTGGTATACTATTCTAGCACTCACAATTGCCACACACACACGCAGACACACAAAGACGCTCCACAGAAGGACCATAAATACAGTTATCCCATTCTGCTACACGCGGACACACGCCCACAGAACCTTGCTCAGCTGCAAAATGCGGGAGATCCAAGCTTTGTCCTTCACACCTCCCCATCATGGTAGGAAGGCCTCAGGGTGCCATGACTCCACCATCTGCAGCCTTTGGCCAACCAATAGTTGGTCTAGAACTCCAGGGCCCGATGAGACCACTGTGCAACGCTCTTTTTGGATTCCAGTGTATCCTTGGCATAGTGGAAGTGGTGAGAAGGCCCCCCTTGGAAGGGTTCATATTTCCAAACTCTGTGTAGTTCCTGTTTCTACGCAGCGCTCGCCCGACAGCAGAGTTGGCAGCAGATGCACATTTCATATGTAAACAATGTTTAAAATACCCTGTTACGAATTCAGTCATTAAATTAATTCTGGCAGCTTTAGCTAAGAATGGTTTTTGACTAGGGTAGGGGAAATACTACCTGATCTAACTAGGAACACCCATTTGAGGCTTCAGAGTTCTTGAACATGAGATTCCAGGTGTTTTAGGAGCAAGGGTTAGGAGGCATGTGTTTTCTTTCTTCTTGGGGTTCACATTGACATGCCAACCCTCCCTCAGATAACAATGTGCAATGGCAGGGCAGCGGGCCCTGACACAGTGGACCAAAGGGCCTTCTCAGCCTTGTCTAGCTGCAGACAAGAAGGAAGAGATTCTTGGAGTTACTGGACAGGAATGCAAATGCTGAAACAGCAGCATCATCTAAAAGGGCCCATCACCCCACAAAAGGAGAGTGTGTCAGCCCAGTTCTCAATAACCTGCACTCTTGAGCTTTTAGTCAAGCTGAAAGTTCTTTAGATCTGTAATGAATCCAAATCCACTGGCCATGGATTTTTCCAGTGTATCTCCACCATAATTCTGTGACTCAGTCCACTTGGAGACTGGGCTCTTTCAGGCTCCTCTTCCATTTTCAGGTCTCTCTGCTAAGGACTCATTTCCTTGGCACTGCTTCTCTGCCAAGGTTGGCTTGTCCCTGGATAGCCAGCAGAGATTCTGGGCTGTACACACATCCTCTAGAAGAGGTTCCTGATACCTTTCCAAGTTCAGCCCCTGAGGCCCACGAAAGTGAGGAAGGCTCTTCACAGCCGATGATCACAGTGAACTTCTTAGTCACACTTCCTAGTTCACGTTCAGTCCCAAAAAGTCGGAGATCAAGAAGGATGCTATTTCTTGAGAGCCAGGGAGGTGCCTTTCTAAGCAAGCATGCTCTCAGGAAGCAAGCTGGAAAGAGAAGTTCAGCCTAAGTTCCCATTCTCCCCCATCACAATTACATGACCTGCATGGAAGGGAGGAGGTGGAGAGACGGGGAAAGTATTAGGCACCATGAAGCTGTCCAGATGGTGGGAATTCACCTCCCTTTGCCAAGCTCTCTGTGAGCCTAAGAGACCAGTGAGGGGTGATGCCTCAGGGAGGTGAGGGCAGAGAATACATCAAACAACAGATGGGCTGTATGGTACCCCCCAAAAGCTACTGTAGTCTCCTTCCCTGGCCAGTCCACATCTGGGAAAGTTCTTGATCAAATTGACAAAGATTTATAAGCCGTGTCTTTCTTAATGGCAGCTCTACTTTGGAAATTACGAAGCACATCTCCCAAGACCCTTTCTGTGAATGCCAGGGTAGGTGAGTCTTATGAATTTCTAGACTAGGATGGGCAATGATCACAGCTTTTCACACTGGTCCAATGGAAATGGAAGGAGCGGCCAACCCCATGTTTCTCTCTCCAGAGGTCACCTGTCCATGACAGTGCTAGAAACTGGGGTCCCACAGAGACCTCTCTCCTCAGCTGTGAGGTCCCAGCACCCAGGGCTAGCCACGACATTGTGGCCGCAAGTCACAAAGGTGAGCCTGGGTCTTTCAGCTATTCTTCCCAGGTAAACAGTGGCGAGTCAGTAACCCTAAGGAGGAGGGTGTAGAGGGCGTGGAAACTGCATTTGCATTATTTACAGATTAGCCTAGCACAGCAAATCTGCCTTCTCAGCAGAGGTGGCCCAAGACATTACAAAGGGCAACTTGCTGACCCAAGGGAGGGTGACAGCGGCAAGGTACTACCACTAACCAAGACACTAACACGAGCAAATGGAATAGAGTCCTGGCTCTGGCAGCTGGGCCGCGCTTCGGAATGGCCCTTCATTCCTCCTCACCCCCAGCCTGTCACTCCCAATGCCACCGCTTTTGCACACCTACAATATATCACGTTAGAATATGGGTTTGGCAGCAAGGGCAGGGGAAGCCGGCGGTTTCCAAGAGTCCTCTTCGGAGGTCTAACTGAGCCTCCTCTGGCTTTGGGACAGCAAATCTAAGTACATTTTGGACCGCAGGAACCTGGGGTAAGAGTCTTTCTCCATGAGACTGTGTACTTTTCCCTGGGCTTGGTCAAAGCAGGTCAGGGATGGCTCCTGCATGTTCTTCCTCGTGGCTTCTCGGGTCTGGAAGTCAATGTTTACCTGGACACACAAACAGAGCAAGTCACAGGCCCTTGAGGGCCAAGGTAGCTGCAGCCGTGGCTAGCTAAGTGATTAGTAATAACAGCATCATGTATCTTTAAGGTGCCGTATGCTTTTTAACGGCTTCCAGGCAGGTCACCCCATTTGATCATAGCAAGAACCATATGAAGTCCAGGGGCCAGACAGTCTCAGTTCCCATGTATGGGAAAAGACACAAAGAAAAGAGACTAAGAACTTGTCTAAAGTAGTATGGGAAGTTAGTAGTAAAGTCAAAGCAAACCCCCAAGTCACTTGAAACCCAATACTGGAATCTCCGCAATGTCAAGCAAAGGGTAGACAGAAGCCAGTTCCCTAAAGTTAGTTTTCCCTTTTGGGCTTTCCTTACTCTGAGAAAGCAAATGTCCTGTGGAGACAGGTCCTGGTTTGGACCCACATAGCTGTTCCAGTCAGCATTACAAGCAGCCTTAGCATCCTGGTGAGCTGCTACAGACCTCATGCATCCCAGGTCATAGCGTAATTGAAGCGCACCAGGGATGCAAGGCATCTCACCATGGATGGCAAACATGTATCTTCAACTAAACCCTCTCAAATAACATTCTATAGTATAACTCGGAATAGCAATACTTAGAAATGCATCTTACTGTTATAAATGTTTATAATAAAATTCTATAACACACTGTCACTACTCATTAATGAGCAGTGATTTAATAAAAATAGTGGTTTTTCTTGTTTGTCTTTTTGTTTTGTTTTGTTTTGGGAGAGGTTTTTGCTATAGGGCATATATGCTTGCCAGAAAGGCAGAGAGACAGAAAGCGAGAAATCACCCCCCAGGGGGGATGGCTATGCCACAATCCCTTTTCCTCCATTCTCCTCTCGGGATCTTGGGCATACATGCACATGCGCCCAGTGTGTGTTTAAGCCACTGAGTCTGGGATTTGAATCGCTGTTGACTACATGGGAGTCCAGCGATGTAGCCATTATGCCAACTGCTGGTCCCAATAAGAATTGCCTTTATTCCTAATACTCAGAATGGTCTGGTGAGCAATATGCCTTTTCACTGGGGAAAATGAGACTCAGAGAGGATAAGTAACTGGGCCAAAACTACGTAGCCAGTTAGTTGTGAGACTGAGAGTAGAACATGACCCTGAAGCAGATCTGCATTCCAATAAGCTATGCTGCCTTCCCTCAGGGAAGCGAACATGGACTCAGTGGCATCTATTCTTGCAAAACCCCTGTAGCATCACAGTTCCTGCTAGCTCTTATTTTGTTGCTGTTATTGTTTGTTTGTTTAATTTTCTAGAAGGCACATGTGCTCATTGGAAAGAGACAACGAGAGAGAGGGAGAAAGCATCCCCCATAGGAGAAGGTCATACCACAATCCCTCCTTCTCTACTTCTCATTCCTTTTGAGATTTTAGGCACACACACACACACACACACACACACACACACACACATAGAGTGTGTTTTTCAAGCCTCTGAGTCTTGGACTTGAACCACACAGTCCTGGGCTTCTGCTCCTTGAAAGAGATCCCTTTTTTAGGGCCCAGACAGTGGTGTAGCAGTAACACAGGACATGCTGTGAGGCTGACACACATGAAAGGTTCCCAGTTGGGGGCTGACCCATAGCAACAGGTTCCAGGCTCCCATTTGGAGGTCTCTGAGTACACTGGGCATCCATGTTCCCATGATCTGGGGCTGGGTCTGGATTGCAATTCAAGACTTTGTTGGGGTGCACTCACTCTCTGTCACTCATGGAAAGTCAAAGCAAACCCCCAAGTCACTTGAAACCCAATACTGGAATCTCCGCAATGTCAAGCAAAGGGTAGACAGAAGCCAGTTCCCTAAAGTTAGTTTTCCCTTTTGGGCTTTCCTTACTCTGAGAAAGCAAATGTCCTGTGGAGACAGGTCCTGGTTTGGACCCACATAGCTGTTCCAGTCAGCATTACAAGCAGCCTTAGCATCCTGGTGAGCTGCTACAGACCTCATGCATCCCAGGTCATAGCGTAATTGAAGCGCACCAGGGATGCAAGGCATCTCACCATGGATGGCAAACATGTATCTTCAACTAAACCCTCTCAAATAACATTCTATAGTATAACTCGGAATAGCAATACTTAGAAATGCATCTTACTGTTATAAATGTTTATAATAAAATTCTATAACACACTGTCACTACTCATTAATGAGCAGTGATTTAATAAAAATAGTGGTTTTTCTTGTTTGTCTTTTTGTTTTGTTTTGTTTTGGGAGAGGTTTTTGCTATAGGGCATATATGCTTGCCAGAAAGGCAGAGAGACAGAAAGCGAGAAATCACCCCCCAGGGGGGATGGCTATGCCACAATCCCTTTTCCTCCATTCTCCTCTCGGGATCTTGGGCATACATGCACATGCGCCCAGTGTGTGTTTAAGCCACTGAGTCTGGGATTTGAATCGCTGTTGACTACATGGGAGTCCAGCGATGTAGCCATTATGCCAACTGCTGGTCCCAATAAGAATTGCCTTTATTCCTAATACTCAGAATGGTCTGGTGAGCAATATGCCTTTTCACTGGGGAAAATGAGACTCAGAGAGGATAAGTAACTGGGCCAAAACTACGTAGCCAGTTAGTTGTGAGACTGAGAGTAGAACATGACCCTGAAGCAGATCTGCATTCCAATAAGCTATGCTGCCTTCCCTCAGGGAAGCGAACATGGACTCAGTGGCATCTATTCTTGCAAAACCCCTGTAGCATCACAGTTCCTGCTAGCTCTTATTTTGTTGCTGTTATTGTTTGTTTGTTTAATTTTCTAGAAGGCACATGTGCTCATTGGAAAGAGACAACGAGAGAGAGGGAGAAAGCATCCCCCATAGGAGAAGGTCATACCACAATCCCTCCTTCTCTACTTCTCATTCCTTTTGAGATTTTAGGCACACACACACACACACACACACACACACACACACATAGAGTGTGTTTTTCAAGCCTCTGAGTCTTGGACTTGAACCACACAGTCGGCCATTTGGGACCCAGCTGCCTTAACCACCACATCACTGGCTGGCCCAGCCCTGTTTAATTGACAAATGAAAACAGTCCTCATAGAACTCTTTCTATGGAAGCCCTGGGCTTCTGCTCCTTGAAAGAGATCCCTTTTTTAGGGCCCAGACAGTGGTGTAGCAGTAACACAGGACATGCTGTGAGGCTGACACACATGAAAGGTTCCCAGTTGGGGGCTGACCCATAGCAACAGGTTCCAGGCTCCCATTTGGAGGTCTCTGAGTACACTGGGCATCCATGTTCCCATGATCTGGGGCTGGGTCTGGATTGCAATTCAAGACTTTGTTGGGGTGCACTCACTCTCTGTCACTCATGGGAGAAATTAAATAAATAAACTTAAAAAAAAAAAGTGACCCCTTTTTCATCAGAATGGTGAGGCTCCGTTCAGTATAAGAAAGTCCTACTCAAGCCTGGCTCAAACTTCTTTCCAGGAGACAAACGTAGGCCAGGAGCCATGGATAGAAGTCACCAACATCAACACACCTCCCGCGGAGCCTGCACATCCACAAACTCCTCAAAGATCCTATGGGCCTTGGAGACCAGTTTTGCAGTTGACCTGGTCTTCTTGAACTCCTCACAGGCCAACCAGAACTCCAGGTTCTCCTCACTGAACTCCGTCTTCAAGAAGGCGCGGAATGCAGCCACTCCATCTGCAGAAGTGGAGGGAGGAAGAAAAGGAGAGACGGGAAGGTCTTTAAGTTCCAGAACCACAGCAGACAGAGAGAATACAGTGAGGAATACAGTGAGGTGCTCCTGTCTAAGCCCACTGTCCCTCCACACCCTCTTGAAGACTCCATTCTCTTAGACACACAGGTAGCTTCAGAGGCAAGCCAGGCTTCTTACTCAAGGATCATAGTGATGTCAGGGGGCAAGTTAGGAAGCCATCATAATGGCAAATATATGTGAGCCTGGTCACTTCTAATCAGTCCTCAGTGGTCATCGTCTGTCCCCTAGGATAGAATTGGTGTTCCCTGGGTGCTGCTAATTATGCCAAGGAAATGGAGGCAATCCATTCCCTACCTATCCAAGTCAGCAATTCTGAGAAGATACATAATCTATTGCAAACTAGAGTGGATGTGATTCTCCAGGCAAATCCTTCACTTACTACCAGAAAATAAGCGGAAAGCAACCTACCCAAATTCAGTCAGTCATGACATTCTATTACATGGATCAGGTTCCCAGCCTCTTCTAAAAAGCCTTTGGGGCCTGGTATTTTGAGATTTTTATGCCAAGATCTTGCTTGTCAAATTATATGTTTAAGATTGATAATAACCTTCTACCAAATAACTTCATGATGAGTGTACAACTTCATTTTTATTAACCACCGTTCTATGTAGTGCCAAGCAGAGCTTCTAATCAGCACAGGATGAGCAGATTCTCACATCAAGTTGAAAGGGAAAACAACATTTATTGATAGCCTATCTGTCCAGTTGATGTTTTCATTTTAAAATATTTTTAAGACAGTTTTTTGGGGATGTTTTGTTTTTGTTTTTGTTTTTTATTCATGATAGAACTCGTAAACACATATGAGAGAGAGAGAAGCACCCTCCATAGGATCTGGTCACATCCCGATACCCTCCCTCCAGTCCTCCAATCTTCCAGCCTGTCAGATCCTGGGCCCTAGCAAGTGTCTAGCATGCTTTTTTTTGTTTTTGTTTTTTCAGAAGGACTGGCTGGGGATTCGAACCACAGGTGCCACGTGGGATCTGGTGTCTCTTGAACAGTGTTGTACTGCTGCGCCACGGAGCCAGCACTACAATGTTTTGTATAAAGTGTTTTAACCCTCAGTGCACTGTCCTCTAATAGAGTAACAGCTGTAGCTTTCTACAAACTGTCTTCAGGGGAAGGGTTATGGGCAGCCTGGGCATCTGGTACCAACCCACATGCGACAGCACAGTGCAATGATCAGGATCATGAAGGATCACTTGTGCCACGCTATTGGTACATCTAAATGTTTATTTTCACTTTTTTGTAGCATTTTTATTCTTCTTAATAAAAACATCATTGAGTATCATCTTTAGGGCCAGTCCATAGTGCAGTGGTTAAGCGCTATGTATTGGGAGCAAGATACTACATAGCCAACCGTGGTTCAAATCCCAGCCCCAGTGTCTTGAAAATCATGCAGAGTGTGTGCATGTGTGTCCAAAATCCTGGCAAGATGGAGGGAGAGAAAAAGGATTGCAGCATAATCATGATCATTGGGAGGTGTTTCTCTCTCTCTCTCTCTTTCTCTCTCTCTCTCTCTCTCTTTCTGGTGAGTGTACACACCCTTTGGCATTGTCTATTTAAAGACTTTTTAATTTCTACACTAGAACAATAGTCTTCAAAAACAAGACTTTAAATTGCAACAACCAGGAACTTGGAGAGAAAAGGGCTTTCATGGGACTCTCAAAGCTAAGTTTTAAATCACAAAGAGATTTAAATTTAGAAGATGGAGCTTGAAGTATTTAAGAAAAGTAGGATGGTCATGTAATTAACCATTCAAGCCAGGACACAGTTGAGAGCCAAGGGGGCATTAATGTTAATTACATGGAGACTAGAGCACCCCAGGCAAAACCAGAGCTGAGTTCACCTTAACTCCAGGCCATGGAGTATGGAGAAAGCAGAGCATAGTGTAAATTTACTTCCCATCAGGCAGGATGAAAATCAAATTGTTTCTGTGCTGGGGAATGAAAAGGAAGGTAACATAGTTTAGACTCAAGTGAGAGGTCTTCTCGGGGTACCTCCCACCCTCATTCCTGCACTGGGTTCAGAACTCTGGAAGAAGGAGGTAGAAACTAGAAATGAATTGGGTGGTGGCATGGCAATGCACAGGAGACATGGCCTGAGACTCACGCTTTCGACTCCACAGTGTCCTTGAAAGAATGACTCGTGTACAAAGTGCTGTTCAAGGTCTTGGGATACTTCAGAAGAAAAAAAAAAAATCATAAAATCTTTACCCCTTAAGCCCTTCTTGAACACTCTGCCACTCAGTCTTCTCCAGGTTCTCCATGGAGGAGATCAAGAAGATTCCACAGGCTCCAGAGGGAACTCAGAGTTGAGAGTTAATGTGCCTACCAGGAGATCAGCACTGCTTGCAGAAGGGGCCCCTGTGGCGGAGGATTGAAAAACAGCTGGCATGTCAGCAGGTGAAGAAGAGGTTAAGGCAGCTAGATCCTACATGGCCAGCTACACAGTTCGAGTCCCGGACTTACCTAGTGGTTTCAAAAGGATGCCGGACATATTTGTACATGTGCCCAAAATCCCTAGAGGAGAAGGGACTGTAGTGTGGCCATATCCTCTAGGGAATCAGTTCTCACTCTCTCTTTCTCTCTCTCCATCTCTCTCCATCTCTCTCTAGCACCCTACAGCAAAACTTAAAAAAAAAAAAAAAAATATGGAGATGTAGACACCTCTAGGGAGACTCATTGCCCATGAGACTCAAGAAGGCGTTCTGCAGAGGATGAAATCTTGGCGGTGACCAGTGCACATGCTGACACAGTGACACAGGGGGGCCTGAGAACCACAGGCCAGGGGTTCTCACTGCCTCCATCTTCACACACAGGGAGTGGGAAGGAAAGGAGAGCAAGAAGGACCCTAAACGACTGCATTTGTCTAAAAGAGTAACTGGGAAGTGACTTGGGTATAACTCAGAAGAGCCTGTCACTATTTTTTAATAAAATGAAAATTTTTAAAAATGAAACGTGTGGCATCTTTATCTTATTTTATTTTTGGTTTGCTATGGAGAGTGCCTGCAAAGAAGAGACAGAGAAAGAGAGAGAGAGAGTGAGAAAGCACTTCCTCAGAGGGATGACCACTCTACATTCGCCTTTCGGCCATTCTCCTCTCTGGATTTTGGGCACTCGCGCCCATGTGCCCAGCATGTCTCTCAAGCTGCCAGACCCAGGACTCAAACCCTGCAGTTGGTCATGTGGGATCAGCTGACTTAACCTCCATACCACCTGCTGGCCCAAGCCTGTCATTTTTGAAATCAGAAGAAGTCCAGAGCATGGTCTGGTAGCTGATCTAGTCCATGTGGCTGGATCCCACATGGACGACCACGTGGTTCAAGTCTAGATCCAGGAGCTTGAAAAACACACTGGGTGCATTGTGTGTGCCCAGAATCCTGAAAAGAGGGAGAAATGAGGGAGAAGGAATTGTGGTGTGCCCTTCCATCATGGGAGTGGTCACTTGTGCTTTCTCACTTGTCCTCCTCTCCTTTCTCTGTCTCCCCTTCAGATAATGTACACACCCCCTAGCGAATTAAAAAATGTTTTAATTAATTTGAAAAAACAAGAAGAGGGAACCAGCAGTTAGCGTAATGGCTATGTCGCTAGACTCCCACGTAGTCGACCGCGGTTCGAGTCCCAGACCCGGTGGCTTAAACTCACGCCAGGCGCGTGTGCGTGCGTGCCCAAGATCCCGAGAGGAGAATGGAGGAGAAGGGATTGCGGCGTGACCATCCCGGGGGGTGATTTCTCGCTTTCTGTCTCTATGTCTCTTTCTGTCTGTGTGGCGACCGCGCGCGCCTTATAGCGAAAACCTCTCAAAAAAAAAAAAAAAAACAAAAACAAGAAGAGATTAACTTCCTTGAACGAGAAAGTTGAAATTTGTTGTTTACCATATTTTGTTTTTATTTTTCACCAAACAAAAACAGGTGATGTGAGCAAGTTGAGTACAGGTAGAGATAAGAAAATGGCCTTTCTGCCTTCTTCGGTGGGACAGGTGAAGATAACCTGGCTGAGGAAGCCCGAGTCTGGCCCCATGTCTGTGCTAGCCAAGGTATGACAGACTCTCAGTCCAGGTCTCAGCTTTGTGGTGTCTCCATGCGGAGTGAAAGAGAACCTTTACAAGCACCTGCAAAGTGCTCGTAGGAGTGTCGCTTTTTCTCTTCCCATTTCATCGATGAAGAAAGCGATGCTGAAATAAGTGACTTCGTGAGTTCCCACAACTAAATATGTCACACTAAAAATGTTATCTAGGTTCAGCCTCGGTGGCATAGTCGGCAGCCAGTGGGCCAAGGAGCGGGAAACCACATGGCGACTGCATTTTCAAGCACAGCCTGAAAACACACCAGGTACCTGTGCACATGCCCAGTGCGCCAATGGCCTGGAGTACTGGAGAAAGGGGACCATGGGGTGACCACACCCCGCGGAAGATGCTTCTCTCTCACACACGCACATGCGCACGCTCTCTCTCGCTCTCTCTCCCTCTCTCCCTCTCTCTCTACATATATATATGATATAATACTACACTAACACCTAATCCAGTACAGTAAGTGCCATCTTCATTCACTCGTCCATTCATTCACTCACCCATGACGTGCCCCAGGCATCCCGTGAGGGATGCAAGCACAGTCCTGGTCGCACCGAACTTCCCACTGGAGTGCAGTTCCTCCCGAGAAGACCTAATTACGGTAATTACAGGGCAGCGTAACACATTATCTGAGAGGGAATGTGCAGGGTGCAGTGAAAGGACCCAGCAGGTGTCTGAGCCAGCTCTGAGGGGAAAGGGAAGAGCTCAGGAGGAAGAGGCATCTAAGCTGAAATGGGAAGTTGAGGAGAAGGAAGCTCTGCATAGAGGGAAGAGGAAATGGAAAAGAGACATTCAGGAAGGGGCGACCACATACACAAATGCTTAGAACTAAGACACTGTCTTTGAGTGAGGAGGA